AAAACAAGAATTTACCACCAATTTGTTAAAACAATTTATGCATAATATCACAGAAATGTTAAATTTCAGACAAACTTTGCCCCAAAAAAATTCAAACCACCAACGATTAATTTCTAACATCACAGAACCACCCTTTACTACCCTTCACTTCAATACCATTGTAACAACAACAAAAAAAAAAAACAAAGCACTTCTTCATTTTCTAATTAAGTTAAAAAATTACAATTTAGCCGGCGTTCTAAATAAAATGCCGCACAGTGCGTCGCCCACCCCAAAACGATTATGCAAAAATTCGCGAAGCGTGAGCCCTACCACACCCCATGGTCCAGCCATCTGATCACCTTGACGCCGACTTGGCCTTCCGGGGTGGCAAAATCGAGAATGTATTCCGTTTCTGTCCTCTCCGGTCTTCTCAGATCCAACGCACTCGAACCAGAGATACAGACAGATAGAGAAGGGTCGAAGGAGTTAAAGGCGGGGGTGGGAAGTGCACGTGTACATGTGAGAAATAGAATCTCGAACTCTCATTGCAGCCACGTAGTTACGTGTACGGTGAATATCGCGAAAGCGGGAGAGAGCGGCGCTAGGGGTTGAGATGTGTAGGTATATGGAGCCAACATCAGCAGAGCGTCTCGGCGTTGGAGGCGCCAAAGCGTCGCGGCGCCACCCCCGGCGCCCGCCATAACGCCGCCAGCACCAACCTCCCTTCACTCTCGCAAACTCCTCTCCTCCCTTCTCTTCATCGTCTTCTCATCCTCCGCTCCCTTTGCTTCCTTCCTCCTCTTCTCTCCTCTTTTTCTCTCGTCCTTCTCTTGAGTTGTCCTTCCTCCTCCTTTCTTTTTTCCGTCCGTATCTCGTTTTCGTATTACTTTTTATTTATTCCTTCTTCTTCTTACCATAACTTCCGCTTCCACAGTTTCTTCGCCACTTCTGCTCTTCTTTCTTTCCTCCTGTTTTTGCTCGTTCGTGCGTTGTTTTACAAGCCTTGCAGGGGACCTTTTTGGGTGTTTTTGTTTCATAGTTTGGGTGAGTTTTCTGGGTTTGTGTAATTTACGGTTGTGTTCAGGTATCGAGGGTGCATCGTTTGAAATTGTTTGGAACAGAAAATTCTTCAAATTTCGCGTTGGTTGAACGGGAATTTTCCGTGCTGAGGATGCTCTTTCGTGGAGCTTTTAATTCAAGTTTCTTAATTTCTTCGGGTTCAGTTTCATTCTTACCGTGTCTACCTTTTTTTTTTGGGCTAATTAAGCAAGGAAGATAGTGAATATAGCTGGTCGTTTGTTGTATAATCAACAGCTACTCAAATTTGGATGAGAAACTCCTCACGGTGGCCGGGTCAAATCTGACCCACTTTGAATTGATTTTAAAACTAAATTTTCCTTTCCTACTCATAGGAACACCATTATCTTATCATTGTAGGGTGTAAATATATTTACGAATTGCAAGTAAATAATGTTTATTTAGTGATTGTACACAAAATTGAATTACTCTTTACTGCATGTTCATTGCAAATATATTTTTGCAAGTGCATCAATCACTCGTCGATGGTCCACACATTATGATTTTATATTCTTTATAACGTAAAACTCACGAAAAATATTGTTGAAGACTTTCTGTCTCGAAGTTCTGAAGAACAGTGCATCGTTGCAAACTAACGAAAGAGATTATTCCAACGACACTCCTTGCGTTATCTACAAATTGAACAATTACAACTTACAGGATTACATTATCACTGCTGGGGTCTCAAGTGACCCAACCATAGGAATGTCAGGATCAAAGAATAAACTGAAAGAATTGAAAAATGTTTCCATAATCCTGCTCCAATAATCACTATAAATATCTCAGTATCTTAATAGAGTGTACGTAACAAAGATTTGCTGTGGAACTAAAAAACAAGACAATAGCAATTATCACTCTTTGTATTCGCAGTATACACTCTTTTTCTTCACAGAAAATTCACCTTTTCTTCCGCTATTTTATCTTAGTTCAGGCTCCGCCTGTTAATTGCTCTCCTCGAGTTCCCGTTCGATATTTGTTCTAGGGTGTGCTGAAATTTGCGAAAATCTCGATGGCGCCGTCTCGACGCTCGCGTCTAGCTGTTCGCGAAAATGGAGTTCCCTGGCCCTCTGATATTTCAGCCGATCCCGTAAACTCTCCGTCCAGTGATACATTTTCCTCCCTTTCGTTCTTCTTCTCTGCCACGTGGCCGAAACGTCGCAGTGCATCTCTTTTCTAAAGGAAGAAATTTTCTTCGATCGCACCGCCCGTGTTTACTACCAATAATGATTTCTTTCCCTGTTCTTCCCTTTTCGCTCCGGCCAAGAGTAATTTAACGCTTCTGTATATCTGTTATTCAAATTCTGGCCGCGTTTGTTTTTTTGCGCGCGATGCACGCCGCGCGCCAACTTTGAATTTCAAATCCGACGAACCGCGCGATAGATCGATTACTTGAATTAAACGTGACGGAATTTAGTCTTTTTGTACAGCGCGATGGACATTTCAGTCGTTTCTTTCTTTTCTATTCGTTGTTCTACGTTTACGTTACTGTGGACGTTGGAGAACTTTTGGAAGAATTTGTGTTACGTGGGCCAGGATTGAAATCGGCGTTATTAAATATAACGTTGCAAGTAACGGTTAATTTATGGGGTCTGTGTGAATTAAGTTTGCTACCATTGTCGGATTTTAATATTCATCCCCCGCGGGCGTAACGTGAACACGTGATATTTGCAAAATTACAACAAAAGCTGCGGCGGTCACACTATTGTTAAGTAATAATTATCGGCGATGCGGTGTATAATAAATACCGCGCGATATACCAATATTCTATGATATTACGTTATTTTGCGAGACGATATTATTGGTCGAGTGAAGAAAAATTTATTCACGCACAGTGATTTTCGGTTTAACAATTATTATAATTAAGTGGCATTGTCGGTGTGACGGTGTTAACACATTGTTGACCGGTCACGAGTTAACTCGTGTCTGCACTTGCATTAGCTATTTCAATTTTTGAAACGCAGGTCGATATGGAATATTGCAAAAGCTTTGTTCGTCGTGTTTAGTCGTGTCCGCTTTATTCTAAAAAAAAAATACTCTTCTTGGTATTTAGGTTTCCGTCACAATTCTACCTGTTTAGTCCTCGATGGGTATACCTGCCGCCCAACCCTTTCAATTTGTCAACATCTACTTCTATTGTATATATTTTCGCCTTTGTAATTAGTCTCGGGAGGCCGTTAGTTCGTTTCGTAACAGCAGTAACTTTATGTCAATCGTAGTTTTTCGACTTAAGAATTTGCTTTTCTTTTATATTAAAAGTTATATGAAAGATACATATGTCACAAGATACATGTGAAGTTTATTGGAGTTTATTTAGATTGTTTCACTTCCACGTTCAATTACGAAATAATAGCCGGTGACATGAGATAGCTTCTGCGTAAGATTGCCGGTCAACAATGTGTTAAGAAACAAAACTCGTTGTGGCGTGATAGAATAATTCTATTGGAGATGAAAGATCTGCGTTGATATACTTGTTTCATTTTTTCTTTACAATTCACTTTTTAGTTGTACGTTTAGTGTTCATTTTCCCTTTAAATTCGAATTCCATCTGTTGAGAATGTTTGTTGAATTTACAAATGGCAATTATTTAAAGACATTTTTAAATATAGAGTTTTATTAATTGAATTTATTATCTCAGCACTCGAGGATTAGTTTAACAAGATATATTCATATTTCATTATTTTCTTTTCGAAAGCATTTTGGATATAAATTTTTCGTAAATTTTCTCTATACTCGAAATTGATATTTTTACAGTGTAATTAATTAAAATAGCAGCGATTTAATATGTCCTTTATAATTATGAGCCTGTTTTCAATATCCTTGAGACAAAATACTATTTTCATTATTTCGAAATGTTATTGTAAAGATGAACTATTTTATTTTTGTAGTTACACGCATAATTTAACCCTTCGCACTCGGAGGTCCTTTTGCGGCAAGAAAGGTTGCAGATCGGATCTTGTTTGAAATTTTTTGAAACTAACGTAGAAATACTATACCGTTTTATTCCAATATTCGATGTATTCGATGTGAACTAATTTATGGAGGTCCATAGGTCTGCTCTCTCTGTCACGATTAATGATTTACCAAGTGACAATTATTTAATGTCGCTTCTCAGTCGCCACTCGAGTGCAAAGGGTTGATCCTCCCTAACGCCACGTGACTTGGAAATTACGTATCCATTTGTCTATATTTTATAGTCTGGTTTTATTTATTTACCGTTATACTATTGCACTATACTGTTGTACCTGCTGTTGCATTATTACCAGCCGATCTCTTTGCAGTAATTATAATTTAGAAATTTCTTAACTATTACACTTTTTCTCCCATCAAAGTATAAATGAAAGTCAACCAAGATTTTTCTTCTCGTGGACAAAGAAAAATCAGGATACGGAGAATTAACCCTTTGCCTTGGGATTTTTGTCACCACGTGTATTAGTCTCGGCTACTCACTGTTCCAATTTACCATTGAATAAGAATAAGTCGAGATATGTACAATTTGTCTTAAATTGAAGCTGAAGTGGGAGGAAGAATACAGATTCAATAGGTACATAATTGAGGAGCTTTCTGAAAGAAAGACGTTTCCTGGTAGATCATTTTTAATTAACCGCAAAGTGTTCAAAGATCTTCCCTCCAAATTTCGTCTCAATGTTCCATCGATAAAATTCAGAGCAGCAGTTTTTCTCTAGGTCAAACTAAAACTTCCAATATAACTTTCTCGATTCACTGTTTCGCCCTTTAGACTCCTTTTAAAAAATCTCCTCAATTCTTCTTTTGTCACATCTTCCCAATATTCTCGACTTTTCTAACAAACTCGATCTTTTCCAATAAAATATTCTCGACTTGCCTAATTTAAACGATTGTGTACCATTCAAACCGACATTTTTCCTAAATCTACGTTCCTTTCAGTTTTCAGAAGGGCCTGAAGGAACGAGCTGCAACTCTAGTCGCACAACGCACCCGAGCAAGAACGAAGAACCGCGGCGCAAGAGAGAGAAACGAGCGAAACTGTAAGTACCGACAATTGAAACGATCGCTTCCGATTTGCAAATCGAGTAGTCCTCGGGGCGAGCCTCTCACTTTCGTCACGATCCATCGTAAACCTTCGCATCCTCCTCCTCTGTCTATCTCTCTTGGTCGCTCGGCTATGAGTCAGACGAATCGTGAAAGTGTCCTGCTATCCCCGCAGCGTGCCATAAACTCACCCCTGCAGTGTCCTGGCCCGCGTCCTGTCCACGAATTTATCTTTATTCCGCGAGACAGCAGGCGAGAAGGATCCTTCCCTCGCTCAATATGGAATACTTCTTGCCCATAAGCCTAAGCACGGCGATACTTAATTGCGACAAATATGGCCCGTAAAATTTGAATAGGCATCCGCGTGACGAGAGAGGGGGGGGATCTATCTAGGCGTTGCGCACCTTCTTCCTGCGAATCGGTTTAATTTTATTCGATTCTCGGTGTTGAGATATTAACGGGATCGGTTAGGGGCGTCTTGGATATTCTTTTTTGGGACGGATCTGGAGTTAGACTGGTGGACTATGCGGGGTATTTGGGGGTGAAGTTCAGGTGGAACAACGACGAATTTTGTGAAATTAAATTCTCGGGGAAATGGAAATTTTGGGAGGGGATGGAACGTGTTCGAAAAGGAAGTTTGGGTTTGTTTCGGTTTGGTGTGCTTCGAGGATGCTTTTTTATGTCAGCCTGGAAGGTTAGGTTAACAGGATAGGATTTCGTATTTCACTTTTTTGGTTTTTGGAGCTTTGGATGCTTCGAGGGAAAATGAAACGTGTTTGAAAGGAATTTTGGGTTTGTTTTGTTTTTGTGTGGTTTGAGGATGTTTTACTATCTCAGCCTCGAAGGTTAGTTTATATTTCACTTTTTCCTTTTTTGGAGATTTTTGAGATTTCGAGGGAAAATGGAACGTGTTTGAAAGGAACTTTGGGTTTCTTTTTTTGGGGGCTTGTTTCGTTTGTATGTGGTTTGAGGATGTTTTACTGTTTCAGCCTCGAAGGTTAGTTTATATTTCACTTTTTCCTTTTTTGGAGATTTTTGAGATTTCGAGGGAAAATGGAACGTGTTTAAAAGGAACTTTGGGTTTCTTCTTTTAGATTTGGGTTTTATTTTTCATTTCTATGTGGTTTGAGGATGTTTTGTTATCTCAGTCTCGAAAATTGGATCAATATGATATGTTTCACTCTTTGTTTTTTGAAGCTTTCAGGTATAAAGGTCGCCTCTGTATTTCCGCATTTTAATTTTCTTCAATTTTCCGTACATTCGAAATTGCTATTTTTTTTGTTAACCTCTGTGGAATGAAATGGAATTTCACATGTATTTCTCTGATTCCATAGTTGAAAAAGTCAGTGCCTCAGTAGTGCATTAAAATTGTATCAAAGTGTATTTAATGTAAATAGTGTATTAAAAAAGTTATTACAATTATAATTTTATGAACGACTGTTTTATACGAGGGAATATCATTCTGAATTTTTTAGTAACCCTTCGACAGTTTATCCCGAGTGAGACTCGGGCAGTGCGTTAAATAACGAACGGTATTATTCGAGAGAGACTTTTGGGAAGAAAGTTGGAAAGGGACGAGATATTATTATCAGAAGTGTGACGCAGGGTTGTGTACAGTGTGCTTTAAAAATAATCACACACGACGTAATTATTAAAAAGATACGTGTGAAATATGAATTTTATTCGCTCTAATTCGTAATTATATTAGACTGTTGGAACATTCAAGTTTTATTTAATATCAAAGTTTTCAATATAAGATTGAAAGAAACGAGCAAAGTTTATTGCAATAAATTTTGTCATTTTTCCAATTTTCAAGTTAAATGTTTGTACTGCTGTGTAATACAATTACAATTTTACGAGAGAATACTCTCCTCAATTTTTAATTATTCTAATCATAAAAATAAATATTCCAAGTATTCTGTTTAGTTTTCTAAATAGTCCAAATATTCTAATAAATGAAATATTCTAATCACACTCGAGTTTCATTTAACATGAAAATTTAGAACCAGTGATCGAAAGAAACGAACAAGGAGCACAGAAAGCTAATAAAATTCACAAGTGTACCTTCGATATTTCTCTGAAAGAAGAGCTATAACATAAAACTGTACCAGTATTGAAAATGGTCACGTTTAATTTCAATTTCATTCAACCTCGACGTACTCGATGAAATTATTTAATCACCTCAATGGTGAAAAGAAAAAAGATATCGATTAAACGATCTATAAGTAACAGAACGAAGTGCAGATAATCGATAGTATCTCGAGTAATGTTCACAGATAGTTTATCGAGAGGAGAATCTTCCGTGAAGCACTTTTCATAAATCAAGCAGGTCTTAAATGAACCGTCGCAAATGGCGCCAAAATTCGAAGATCTCCGCTGACTGATTCCGCTCGTATCTCGGTAAATTATCTTCATTCTTCTGTTCGTGGTTGGTCCAATCGACGCATCTGTCGATCTGTAGTCCTGCAGTTGTGTTCGATGTGCTCGTGTGCAAGCTTCTAACGTGCGTTTGAATTTGTTTACCGTTCGGTTCGGTTATTGGGGTTATCTTAAAAATTCGACCGTAAATTTTGCGATCTGCTACCATTGATATTTTATTGGGTGTTTTATTGAATTTTTATAATGGTAATAAGATGGTGAGGTGGAATGGACGTTTTTATTGTTATTGTACTTTTATTCGATATCTATGCACCTACACGTGATAACGATTTTGAGTTTTCCTTTTTCTGCTGCTTCGTGTTTGCAAAGCAACTGTTTATCCGAGTCGTAACTCTCAGAGAGTTGAGCGATGCTCTCAGTCAGTCACTCTCAGACGCAGTGTCCACTCGCGATAGTTTTACTCTCAAAAGGACAATGTCACGATTTGAATTTAAAAGGGGCGCGCCTTTTTACCGTGATCGGCGTGCGTCCGCCGAGCGGCGTTGGGAGCGGCGATCGCGCATGCGTCGAGCGAAAAAAAGTATGGCGTATTGTATTGTATTAAAAACCACGTGCGTGGCGTTTGTTCTCGGTTTTGCCAATAAAAGTAATATAAAATCAGAAAATTCTTTTCCCGTTAATTCTTTTCTGTGCGCGAACAGACAGCTAGCTTATATTCGGCTCGATGTACGTACAGCGACCCAGGTTCGCGTTTCTTATGTTTGTCTCGCAAGAAATATCACGAGTTCTAAGAAGTGAAGGCCTAGAATTTTTCCCAGAACAGTTGCAAGCGTACAG